CTCTGGTGTTGTTGGTTCTGGAGTAGTGGTGGTTGGCTTTGTGTTGTTTGTTTTGGGGTAGTGGTTGTTGGCTTTGGGGTGGTTGGTTTGGGGGTAGTGGTTGTTGGCTCTATTGTTGATGATTTTTGGGTAGTGGTTGGTTTAGGAGTTGTTGGTTTTGGAGTCGTGGTAGGTTTAAGAGTGGTAGTTAGTTCTATTGTGGTTGTGGTAGGCTGAGTAGTTTTTATAGCATTTATGGTTAATTGTGAGCATTCACCATCTCCGACTTTTGACAATTTGGTTCCCTGATTTTGAAACAAACATATGGCAATCTCTAGTTCACAGTCATTGCCTGGAAATGTAAAAGAAGTCTTTTAAAATCTGTGTGAGAAATTCATTTGATAGGAAATGAAAGCTAATGCTACTCAAATATTCTGACTTAAAGGGACTGTACACTGGATATTTAAAACAAATAATAGTTGTAGAAATTCCTAGTTTACTCAACAATTCTTTAATCAATATTACAAAAGCATTTTTCTTTTTTTTATTTAGAAGAGCAAAAGTTTTATGGTTGCCTTGCTAAAGCTATTTTTGAGTAGAAAAATGTAATTTTATTATTTTATAATCATATAAATTATACTGTCCCTTTAGACAACAACAAGATCTTCTGTTACTTAAGAACCATGCTTTAATGCAATTTTAATTGAAATGTACCAACAGTAAAACATGTCCAACCAATACTATATTTGATATTGTCCAATTATCACTAAACCTTTATTTTTGTTCATATAGAACAGCGCATGTAAAAAATAAATTGTCTGAAATTGCTATGTCATCTCAACTCTTAAAACTACAAAATATTTGTCCAAATGCCACCATTGCCAGTAGTTTCGCACCTTTCAAACATAACTGATTAATTCTTTTTCCAATAAAACAATGGTCAAAATTTGATCGAATTTTGAAATGGAATATATAAAACATAAAAGCAATTTTGTGAGCAACTAAACAGGATAATTCTTGAAAAAAATGAAGATTGGATATTTGGCATGTTTCAGTTTTTTGAGTAACTATGTTGTATAAACATGTAACCAATAGACTTACCATATGTTCTCCTATCTGAGCCACAAACAGGAATGTATTCCTCTGGACACAATTTGGAAACACAGTTGTCCTGGGCCCTTACATTAACAACTAGGATAAAGTTAGCATACAAAAATACAACAAACATGCATATAAAAGAATAATAATAAAATTGCTCAACAAAGCAAGGACTTGTGAACTATGTAACAAATAAATCTAACATATATAAAAACATATAATAAAAACAGAGGAACAATATAATAATGATAACGTTATTTAAAATCATTGCAACCATAAGGTCAAGGTAGTAAAAAATTGTGAGGTCAAATAAAAAATAAAATACGTATTTACATTAAAATCAAATTAATTTCAAAATAAACAAAAACCTCTAAAAGTTAGTTAAATAAATGTAGTCACATGCAAAAGTAATAATTCAACTTATCCTTGTCAATTTTAATGTTCTCAAAGAAGGAATGCCATAGTACTAAGTGCTGTTTTTCTAAATTGACAAGTTTTGTTTTTACCATGGCATCAATAATCAGGAAATATAGTCCTGAGTGCCATTGACTGCCAAAAAGAAAAGGCTATTTAAATTACACTTTAAGTTCATAGAAAATTTGAGCCCTGCACAGGTTGTGTTGATTTCTGACTAGTGTGACAGCCTGTTGATATTGACATTACTGCACCTGTTTCTTAGGCACTCTCTCTCCTAGCCTCTCTCACAGACATTAATATTTCAATACATCAGGGATTGTTTTTACAAATAAACCATACACATGATCCAAATGAAAATCAAATTAGTTCATCCTAGGTCTACTATCAATCTACAAAAAAAAAAATGAAACAAAACAAAAAAATTTAAATAAATGAAAATCAAATATTAATAGTAATTTAATTATATCAAATTATCAAGGATGTAAAATGGGCCAGACCTATCCTCTTTGTTTATATGACAGCAGGATGGATATTTATTATATATGTAGCTTAATAGTAATAATTAACCTTAGGCTAGAACTAATGTTCTGAAAAATGACACTAAGGGTACATTTCCAGAGATTTAGATTTAGATCGACCTAACTCCCTAGGGTTTCACGCTAAATTGCAGTCAGCCGAGCGTGCANCTCCAGAATTTTGGCCTCTATTACCATACAATATTTGACCACAAACTCACAAACAATCAGAGCAATACTTAAAATTTTACCTTTTTGAAAATCACTAAAAACAACTTAAAATGTGTAGTACTCAACCTTTTTAGCTTAAAAACAGAAGTGAAACCTCCTTTATGACCAATAAAGCAGGTTTAATAGCAAGCATTATAACAAATGATGTGCAAACCTCTTCAAAATGTTGAAATATTTAAGTTAAGCCAATATAATGACAATTGAAAAATTCTGCAGTTATAAAAATATTATGAAAATAACATATAGCAACTTACCTCCAACTGCTATGAAAAGACAAACAATAGAAAATGCCTTTTCCATTCTTCAAATGCACCTCCCACAAACTGGTTGTCTGCAGTGCCCTAGCAGAAGTCAAGGTGTGCTCCCACCTGTCAGAGTTTATCTCAGGGCTTAACATCTGTCCAATTGAAGACATGAAGGTTGCATAATTACTTGTGACAAAACCATGTACCGATCATGGTGACCTGAGCACTAGCAGCTGTTAAATTTGCATAAGGCTAAAAGATGGACCAAGTTATTTAAATATTAAAAACAAAATTGAAGTTGAGCTTTGGAATATGCCGGAAACTCCTCTCAAGTAACATATGAGCATGAGATCTGAGTCGAGAGAATTTTACACAGATAACATCTGCACCAAATCCAGATATCTTTCCAAATGCCATTTCGTCTCATAAATATCTTAAATGGTGTAAATAAGTGAATTATGCCTTAAATATTTAATAGTTTAACTTCTATAAAGATCTATTCTCTTCTGGCCATTGTGGTGATAGTCTTGTCATTACTTAATTTTGCCTTTTTTTAGTTTTAATGTGACATTTTGAAAAATGAAAACAATTTGATCAAAAAATATAAATTAATAAGATCAGATGAAGCATCTATATTTCTTTGATAAGGTTGTTTACTTGTATCTTCATACATTCTTCTCATAATTAAAATCAATTGTTACATTTCCTTAAAGAATTGATCAAAACAACTCTGCAAAGAGACTCATCCCCAGTATAAATTTTACTTATACACCATTTCCAACTGAATTTACACTGTTGGAAATAAAAATGTCAAAATTTTAATAAAAAAAAACATTACATCTGTGGAATATTGATAATATAGGGAGATACCAGCTTGCAATCTTTTTATTTGAAAATGTCAGTCTTTGTATATGAGCATATATAGGACAAAAAGTGAAATTGAAGAGTTTTCTAAAGATATTATCCATCTGATCTGCCAAACTGTAGGGCGATAAAATTGTATTATCCAAAAATTGAGGAATAACAGTGACCCTTTTTCATCACTTTCACGTTTGTACCTTCCACACACTTCCAGTATTTCAAGGAATTTTCACCTACAATAGAACAAAAACACACAATTAAAACAAATTAAGACATGAAATTAATTTCAAAGATAATTTTAAGTCAATTATGGTTAATAGAGAATCTCTGAATAAAGTTAGACTTACAATAATAATCTCTCCTGTCAGTTCCACACACATACTGATAAGGATATGGGCATCCATTGTGAACACATGCGCTTTGAAGAGAAAAGCTGCTGAAGCAGTGCCCCCTGTAGATTCGTTTGACATTGGTTCCTTTCACACAGTTCCAGTAGTCTAAACCATTCTGACCTTAAAGTCATGAGTCAAAATTTATCATGCAAATTTATGTGAAAACATATTTGATACACTTTTCAAATTCATGGCTAAGGCTATTCAATTGTGAAAATTTTCAACAGGACTCAGGCTAACCATCTAAAGCACAACTTGAGGTATTCAAGAGAATGACCCATATTAGGATACATTTTCTTAGTAACTTAATTTGGTAATGTTTATCTAGCAAAAAGGCTTTAATGTAAAATTTCATTAAAGGGATAATAACTCTTCGTTTTGGCCAAAAAATGAATTTTTCTGGAGTAAACAACAATTTTCCCATACTTATCAATGGTTAATGAATCCATTTTTACATTCAAAGTTAGTCCTTGGTTTTTTTCTAAAAAGTTTGGTTTTTTGTTAAAATCTCTTAAGAGATTTTAACAGAGTATAGCCATCAGTGGAGGTCATGTAGTCTAAAGACAAGCTCAGATATCAGAATAATAGTTATAACTGCCGTTTTTGTGGTAAAACAGAATATATTATATTTCTATGAGTTATTCACAATGTTTTTGTTGTGAAATATATATCTCATACGAAGAGTTATTATCCCTTTAAATTTGCAATTAAGGGGGTTTGTTACATCATAAAGGCCTACATTTGGCAAAATATAACTTTTTCCATTTCTTTCATGTGAAATACCATTTGAAACTAGAGGATCAGAGTGGCAATACTGCCACCAAGCATTGCACCACCAGCAAATTAAAAGGTAACTATGGATGTATCTCCTAGTTATTACCACAGATCTCCAAACATGACTTTCATCAGACTACTGAAGCAACTTTTCCAATAACACCTTTAATTTGGGAGATATGTAGCTTTTAGCTTTTAATTTTAAACAAGGCAGCAAAGCTGTCAAATGTACAGACAAAAAGCAGGAAATAACAAAATAGGCTACTGTCAATTCTGATGCAAAAGTACATTATGTTAAACTGCAAATTCAACATCAAATTCTAATTATGCTCAACAGGTAATAACAATGTAAGTAAAATGTGTAACAAACATAAGGCTTCAGGCCCATGGGAGTTCAAGTTCACCCTTTGAAAATGTAAAACTTCCAGAAAAAAAAGTCAATTAGACTGCTTTTCCAGCTCAGGCTGCATTTTAGTCCTGTATTTCTTTTTTGAAAGTTTGGCAATCATAAGTAACATGGTTTTCCCATAATGGTCATCATGGCAGCAGCACCCAAAATTGTGTTTTCTTCTATTCTGATGCAATATTACATAATGGTTACCAGCATAATGACAATCAATTTTTAATAATAAAATATACGTATCATGGATTTTCAGAAAATGTGACAAGCATGGGTCTTCAAGCCTGTGGAACTTCAAAGTCACACCTTGAAAATGCCAATATGTGAAAAATTAAAATTTCACAAAAAAACTGTTTAACTGGCAGATTGCATTGCCTACTGAAGCTATATTTTAGTCCCATGTTTCTTTCCTGTAAGTTTGAGAACAGTAAGTGACATGGTTTTTCTTAAATGGTCATCATGGGAGCAGTGCCCAAAATAGGTTTTTTTCAAATTTTGATGCAATATTACATAATGTTTAACAGCATAATGACCATCAATTTTTAATAATAAAATATTAGTATCATGGATATTCAGAAAATGTGACTAGCAAAGGTCTTCAGGCCCATGGAACTTCAAAGTCACAACTTGAAAATGCCAAAATGTAAACAAGACAGCACTGTTCTGAAATGTTTTTTTTTCCATTTTTAACAATTTTTAACATAAAACAAAATTAACAGTTTACTGCCATTTTTATATGATCAACTAAGAAAATTGATGAGATGGGAAAAATATCAATAGAGCAGTGTTAAATGTCCAATTTCTTCCATTCTGAGATTCTGAACATAGTGAATGATTGAATCTGACAAACTGCAATGATATGAGTTTATTTCCATTTTTGAAACTTTATTACACAATACACGATAACAAGTTTACCATCATTTTTACAAAATCAACTAACAATGTTGTAAAGATGCAGGAAATGTCAAACAAAAACTTTTACGTATCTTATTATTTTAATAATGAGACTGTTAACATGCCTAAGAATTGAATCTGAGGAAATGTGAAAAATATGCTTTAAAGTGAAAAAACAGCATAACTTCTACAATAATGGCCCGATCATGCTGATTTTCGAACTTGACCTGCGTTTTATGAATATTCATCAGCTCTGTAAATATAAAGCCAAAAAGTAAAACCGCCCTCCACTTATCGTGTTTACAAGGAAAGTGCATGGCGCCGGCATCGGCATCGGCATCGGCATCGGCGACGGCGACGACAGACGCAGGTGATGGCAATATGTACAGACACATCTGTGTCTGTACATAAAAATTTTGACAAGGGTATAATGTGATGAGTGTCACACCTTGGCCAATGAACCACCAGTGACCAAAATCTTGGGGCGTTCAAGTTGAGATTATATGTAACTTAAATCTAGGAGATGAGGTCACAGACCTTTGTAGTCTAAGAGGATAAGTGGTAATGATGACTGTCCAGCAGAGCCAGCAAACAAGATGGGTCAGGACTAAAACCATGCTGGTGGTACAAATATCATGTGAAATCTGTTTGAAATTGATATAATTACAGTTTTCACTCCAAAAATGTTGCTGTAACAGTTGTAATGTCAGCTCAAATAACATGACAATGTATTAAAGTAGACAAGGAAAAATTCCTAATACTCAAACTTTGTTAATATGGGAAAAAAACAAAAGATATACTCACAGTAATAAGTTCTTCTGTCGGATCCACACACATATCTGTATGGTTCAGGGCAGCCTTTGTGTACACATTTTGGTTTTGGTTTGGTGGTTGGTTTGGAAGTTGTTGTTCCTTTGAACTGTGCTGGGGTTGCAGGCTTTTTACAAGTTCCATCATACAACTTGGTTGCACCAATTCTTTCAACACACATCCAATAGTCCAAGGAATTTTGACCTAAATTGATAGATATACAGTCATGATAAGTATAATTTCATATTACTGTAAAAAGTTTTAGAATAGGCCATTCTACATCACCAACTTTTTAGTAATATTAAACTTTAAATTCTAAAAACAACCTTTGCTTTTATCAGTTACTTACACCTGTAAGTTATACCATCACTTGCACACAGGGTTTTGAATGGCTGTGGGCATCTTTTGTAAACACAGGCACTCAGTGGAGAGCTGAGTCTACTGCATTTGCGTCTTGACACCAATTTGACACTCTTACCATTGACACAATTCCAATAGTCTAGGCCATTTTCACCTACAAATCACACATACACATTGATACTTTTATATAAATATAAACATATATAGATATGTACACACATTAATAAATGAGTACATGTCTGAGTGTGACAAGCAGTTATCTTTGATGGTGAACTATACAAAAAAGACAGAATTTGACAATTTTGCAAACCATGTATGAAGCTGGGGCTGCACAATATATCATCTCCAAACAATTTACTGTAACAAAATAATGTAATAAAAGGAAATGTGCACTTACAATAATATGTCCTTCCATTGTTTCCACACACATACTTATATGGTGTAGGGCATCCTTTGTGGACACACGTCTGCTTGGCAGCTGTGGGAGTAGGTTTTATGGGTTGAAGAGTAGTGGTTGGCTTCCTTGAGGTTGTTGGTTTTCTTGACGAGGGAGTTGGTGCCATTGTTGATGGAGTTGGTATAAAGGTAGGTTTTTGAGTAGATGGCGTTGGTTGTGGGATAGATGGAGTTGGTTGCAGAATAGATGGAGTTGGCTTTGGAGCAGGTAGGGTTGGTTTGGGGGTAGATGGAGTTGGCTCTGGGGCAGATGGTGTTGCTTTTGGGGTAGATGGTGTTGGTAATGTGGTGGTTGTTGATTCAGGGGTGGTGGTTAATTCCAGAATGGATGTTTTTGCCTTTGGGGTTGTAGATGGCTTCAGAGAAGTATTTGGTTTCAGGGTGGTCATAGTTGGTTTTGGGGTTGCTTTCGGTGTAGCTGTGGATGGTTCAAGGGTTTTTGGTGGTTCTGCAGTGGATGTTGTTGGTTCTGGAGTAGTTGTAGTTGCTTCTTGAGTGGTTGAAGTAGGTTTAAGTGTTGTGGTTGGTTCTTGAGTTGTTGTAGGCTCAGGTGTTGTGGTTGCTTCTGGAGTGGTTGTAGGTTCAGAAGTTGAAGTTAGTCTTGAGGTGGTGGTTGGTTCAGGGGAAGTTGTAGTTGCTTCTGGGCTGGCTGATGTAGTCTTAAGTATTGTGGTTGATTCTAGGGTGGTTGTAGGTTTAGTCTTTGTGGTTAGTTCTGGAGTGGTTGTAGGTTCAGAAGTTGTAGTTGGTTTTGAGGTGGTGGTTGGTTCTGGAGTGGTTGTGGTTGGTTCTTTTGTTGTTGATGTCAAGGTCAACTTTGAACACTCTGTTTCTCCCAATATTGCCAGATTTTTTCCTTGTTGTTTACTCATACAAATTGCTACTTCTATCTCACATCTGTTTCCTATAAAAGGTAGAAAATAAAAATCAATTAGTAAGTTAAATGCACTAGTGGTACAACTTAGCATCAAAGAGAACAGCACTTGGTTCGGTAATAAAACATTTAACAACTAAACTACATAGACTAGATAAAATTCATATCAATGAATAATATGCTAGCATGGTTGGGTGTTCTTACCATATGTTCTCATGTCTGTCCCACATAACGGTTTATATTCCTCAGGGCAAGACTGGGAACATACTGAAGCTTGACCATTCACACTGCCTGCTACATGATACAAAAACACAACAGTTGATAATTGAAGAACACAAATTATTACAAATCATTATTCAATTTATTGAAATTTACTTTCATGTTATTGGCGCAGTATGTATATATAATATTAAATGCAGAGTAAAATCAATTATATCTTCACACCCCAAAATGTTTCTTAAATAAGCAGTGTCAAAGAAAACAAATGCCACAACATGCCTTTAAGTTAAAAGATCTATTTCATGTACCGTTATAAATAATCAAAGTTAATTAACAATAAATAGCAAACAAAGCTTCACTTACCAAATAAACAAAACAAAGTGAGCAGTAACTTCAACATCTTTATAGTGTAACCCAGATATCAACCTGGCTGAAGCACAGTCTTAGGTCTGTATAAGATTTATCATGGACCCATGCAATCTTCTTATTATATAAATATACATGACCTTTTGTGCCCCCCTTGGCATAACTAGGCCCTGTCAGAACATGCCATATGGATTTTGGTAAGCATGGTATATTCACATGGTCAAGATGGCCTCGTAGAAGAAACTTCAAGATAACTTATAATTAGAGATGCATGTGACCCACAAGACCTGAGGATATCATAGCAGGTTGTCTGATACCAAGAGGCATTCTGATTCCATATGTCTATATAAGACCTTTTGTTTTAAAGATGAGTGTTTTTTTTTCATTTAATAGCAAAATTAAGTGATTTGCGGCACAGTAGGAACATTTATATTGAATACTTCAATTGGAAGAACAGCAGCAAAAATTATCTCAAGAAACAAGTTTGGGGTGTTTTGAATGAATGGAAAACTAATGATTAGCCAAGATTCAATTAAGATAAAAGTATCAAAATTTCAATCAAAATAGTTGTAATAGTGTAATTTGCACTAATGAACTGCCATCTTTCCTTTTGAGTTATGGAGCTGATGTATTGTAATTATGTCAAGAAGACAAAAAAATTAGATGCATCAACAAAAAGTCTTATTATGGATCCACAAAAATATCAGCAACTAATTTTATTTTGGAACAAGTGTAAAGAGATTTGGCTATAAAATGTCACAAAACATTATGATCATATTTAAAGGTGTTACTTTTTAACAGGGAATGAATTAAAAAGTAACAAGTTACTCAAAAATGAAAAAATATATACAGGATACAAGAAATAAAATGCACATGCCAGTACTTATATTATCCATAAATGTACTTTTTATAGGCAAACATGAATTCAAAAATGAATGCTGTCAATTTATAACAGTATGTCAATTGCTACTTTGTCACTTATCTGCATCACTAAATATGTTCAATGTTTTATGTACCCTAGACATGGTTTTCTATACCAGTGTGGTTTAAATATCTTAAATTCCTCATGGGAACAAATGTCAGTTGTCACAGACATTTACCCAATGATGGGCAATATTACATTTGCAAGGTTTACAGGAATCTTAATAAAATTGGATCCAACTTCTTTTGCAATGTCAAGAGGAATTTTAATCCATTTGCTCCATTCTGCTGGCATGCATGGCACTTCCTTTAGGCTTGAGAATGGTATTTTCTGAACGATACACAGGACTCGGTGCAGAGCACACTGGCTTCCTGTAAAAAAGATAATAAAAGGCTATTATATTTTTCTTATAAAATTTGCACTAGCCAAGTTCATGACATTAGTTCAGATAACTATAAGCAGAAAATAGAATAAACCTTGCTGTTAAAAAAAACAATTGCACTCAGTAATAGTGGTTGAGATATCAAAAGGGGCACAGGGAGGGTGGCTGGATGGCCATCCACCAATCCTTGCTCAAAACGGTTCACATCGAGTCATTTTGCCACATCAATAATAAAAAACTCAAAGGCATAAATCTCAGCCCCTAAGCTTAACTTTTTCGGTCATTTTTTTTTTTTTTTTTTTTTTTTGAAGCTTCATAATCTCCCTTCCTTTTCCATCTCCCTACCAACAGAAAGTAAAAGTATGACTTGTGAAGCTGTACCATATTTCCCTCCTTTACTATCACAGTAAAATCCAGGTTTGTCAGAACAATTCTGAGCACAGTAGTTAATAACTGGTTTTGCAGTAGAACTGGGTTGGTTTGTGGTAGGTTTGCCTGTCATCTGACTGGTGTTGGACTGGTTTGGGACACTTCCGCATGTTCCACTGTGCACGACCCTAATACTGGTCTTGTCTCTGCAGTTCTTATAGTTCACATAGCTCTGACCTGCAAACCAGGTAAAATTCTAATATTTTACCTTTTTTTTTTGCTAAATGATTTATCATGCTAGTATTTGATTTCATAATTTTTTTTTATCATTTAGGACATAAAGGAATAATTTTAGTAAAGATAAAATTTATAGACTTTAAGCAAATTTGGTATCCTCTGAACCTCACTTTACACAGTACACATATTACAAGTTACATTTAAACTAAGAATATAAATCAAGATCCATTATATAAATAAACAAATAAAAATAAATAAACAATGAACCATGCCACAAGTAAGACTGCAGAAGTGCTACTGTAGAATTTGTACGTGTAGGTACGAGTAGTTGTAAAGAATATCTATACGGTGTGTTTCCAATCAAGTTTTCCCTTCAACTCACAAAAGTAGGTTTTTCCATCATCTCCACAGACATATTGAAGTGGCATTGAACAAGGTGTGTTTGGACACGATGTCTGGCCTTGTATATTTCCTATCAGAAAAAAGTATTTAAAACAGTGAATAGCACAGTTCTTTATACAACTACTGGGGCAACTTCTTATGAAAACAATTACCAAATTAATGTCTATGAAATAAGATTTTTACTGTAATTATGGAATTTTAGTATGTTTTCACTATCCTAAATACTCATTAACATTTAATATCTAAAAAAAGTCATGGCAAGCTTTATTGGTGGGCCTGTGATCTAGATACACGAAGAAAAGATTTTCATATTGTGCAAATTAAAAATAAAATTAAAACATTTTTAACTAAGTCAAACAAAATGGTATAATGCAATACTTACCCAGGGAAAATAACCACAATACAACTACAAACTTGAACATCTTAAGCAAAAGAGGGTGGATTAGTACATGAAGAAAACACTCCCTAGTAATACTCAAATCCAGGACATCATGCATGATTATTAGACTGGTGAGAATGCCACATCTGTGGCAGCTTTTAAGAAAAAAAAACCCTCTCAGGCCTTTTCAAAACTTTATGAAAAAAAAAATCAAATAAGTAATTTTTTACATCCCCCACAACCGCCTTTCTTAAAGAGAAGCCATGTTCACATTGAACCATTAAGATTTTGATGCCAGTCACACTTCTTAAATCAGATATTCAGTTTTCATTTAAGTTTATCTCTGGTGTCTGATTGCCAGCTGTTAGACCGTATGAACAACCGTGTGCCTGTTATTGACTTCTTGGTCTTTTAATGTCTATTCTAATGTTTTGTTCCCCCTTTTTCACAAGAATGAATAACAATATTAGATGTCATTTTCAAAAGTTCCTGTATTCTTCTTTGCTTTTAAGTTTATTGATGATTTACATTTATTATATAAATATTTTAAACATGATTAAACATCTCTTAATGTCAGCAGTGAATAGAATAAGATTTCAAAGATTTTAATAATTACACACAAAATAAAAACTACATATTGTTTGGCTGCAAGAAAATAAGTGGATGGGAAATGGCGGGGGGGGGGGGGGGGGGGGGGGGGGGGGGGG